GTTTTTATTAAAAACAGCGCGAGCTTTCGAATTCTCGCTCTTTACCAGGTAAAGTTATAATTAAGAGTGAGCACAGGAGGTTGGAGAGGGGGATAGCCATCATTTAAAAATATAATTTAAATAAACCTGGAGTTATTTTGGAGGAGGACTGCGTATTTGGAACAATGTTCCCGATATAGGTAACGGCTGTGACAGATGGAAGTCCGTTGGTTATGTCGTAAGACAACCTGTTAACGCTGGTCACTTCCTTAAGTGGTCACTTCCTAAAGTCCCCCTCCCCCGTGCTCACTCTTAATTGTAACTTTAAATGTTGAAGACCAAGAGGTCGAAAGCTCGCGCTGTTTTTAATAAAGAAACTTTTTGCGAAAGGTTTTTTTTGATATTTTATAATAATAAATCGAATTTTATATCTTATATCTGAGTTTTATTTATATAAAAAAAGAAACATATGTGTTAAAAAATAGTTTAGATTTCATGTTGGGACTTGTTCGATGGAGAGTAGGGTCGATTCTACAAATTGATAAGGGGTCGGTGGAAGGCTGGTTAAACCGTTTGGTTTTCGACCACTACGATCCGGGTTCGATTCCCGCATTGGACACTTTTTTCTGATTTAAAAAAAAAAAATGCTCCAATGGCCTCCGATTCTAGCAATAGTCCAACCCCACCAGCGAGTGCAAGTAACCAAACGGGGCTCTGGCACATTTTAAAGTGCAAAGTCGAACTGTTCATATGTGTAGACATGTGGTGCACTTACAGTAAAAGCAGTGGCTAACTACCCACCATGATTATCATGGCCTGTACCACATGTACTAGGGATAATTAAAAAATAATAATAAAAAACTTGGCACCGGAATCCTTGTAGAATCAGCAATATACTCAACTATGCGATATCACTACTGACAAGAAAACACCGACAGTAGGAAACGAAAAAAAAAAAACTCTCTCGATACGGAAGTCGCTTGGAAATCTTCCAATTTCCAAAAAGGTTTATCGCCGACCATTCGGCAACGCCTATAAATCCAAGTCCTCGGAAGTCCAAGATGGGATTACAGATAAGAACCATCTCTTCCTGATAAGAAAAACTCAGTCTGTACACGGTCTTTCTCTAGTTTGCATATTGTCACATAGTAAATTAGGAAAGATAAACTTCAGGATGCATGAAAGAGACAGGGGCAATTTTGTTCACAGACTTGGTTATCTCGTGTGTCTTCAATAAAGGTCACTGTAATATTTTTTCAGAGTTATTGTCTGAAAAGTACAATTTCCTTTTCTATCCATGAGTGTATGTTAAAGTGTATGAGTGAATAAAGGTCACTGTAATATCTTTCAGAGTTATTGTCTGAATCCCGATATACATGCTGAAAGGTACAACTTCCTTAAGTTTTATCCATGAGTGTATGTTATCTCGTTTGTCTTCAATAAAGGTCATTGTAATATCTTTCAGAGTTATTGTCTCATCTCAATCCCGATATACATGCTGAAAGGTACAACTTCCTTAGGTTTTGTCCATGAGTGTATGTTATCTCGTGTGTCTTCAATAAAGGTCACTGTAATATCTTTCAGAGTTATTGTCTCAATCCCGATATACATGCTAAAAGGTACAACTTCCTTAAGTTTTATCCATGAGTGTATGTTATCTCGTGTGTCTTCAATAAAGGTCACTGTAATATCTTTCAGAGTTATTATCTGAATCCCGATATACATGCTAAAAGGTACAACTTCCTTAAGTTTTGTCCATGAGTGTATGTTATTTCGTGTGTCTTCAATAAAGGTCACTGTAATATCTTTCAGAGTTATTGTCTCAATCCCGATATACATGGTAAAAGGTACAACTTCCTTAAGTTTTGTCCATGAGTGTAACATAATAATACTATCCACAAAGCGAAGTTGTTTTGGCAAACAATGACAAAACACTCTAAAAATAAAAAATCTAAAAATAAACCCATTTTTAGGTTCTTCTTGTGAAAGAATTTACGAAAAGGGAAGGCTGGGTCTCTTAGTTCTGGTGGGTCGAGTGTTGTAGCTACTTGTACTGTAAATTCCAAACACGATAATAGTTTTTTTATTCCTAATGTAATAGCCATGATAATCATGGTAGCTAGGTGCTTACACACTTTTTACTTACATTCTATTTATTCAAAACTTATTTGTTAATGTGAAAGAATAGTAAAAAAGTGAAATAGTACTGGGATCAGGTGGATAAATTAAGAAAAAAAAAAGGCATCTCCAGATTGTGCAACTAAAAGTTGCTGATGGCTTGCGCCATCTGTCGGAATAAATATCAACTAATCGCTGATTTTTTAAAATTATTCCAGAATTGAGCAAATATAATTTCTTGATTAATCAAGAAAAGCTAACTACGTGCACGTTTCGGGCTGTTGGCTCTCATTGGCCATTTCTGGAATGATTAAAAATCAACTATTAGTTTAAATACCTGTTTTATGTTGTTTTATTTTTCAGGATGTCCCAAAGACCAACTTTTTTTTTTTTTGGTAGTTGAAGTAAAGCTTATACCACACTGATGAGGGCCAATATTCCGAAACGCGGTTAGTTTTTTTTAATTAATTAAGAAAAAGAGTATTTGGGCAATAATCTGTAATAATAATAAAAAATATCAACGATTATATTTATTCCAACAGACGGCGCAAGCTATAAGCAAATTTTAATTTCACGATCGGAGTTGTCTTTTTCTTAATTTAATAGCTTTGTCTATACATCTTTTATCTGTATTTCTACTGTCCCCTCAAAGTTTATGTCCATAGTTCATTTAAAATACCATTTCTAAGAGTCTATCAACAGTATCAGTATAAACATTCAACCTATCAAACAAGATACTGAAGGAGGACTTGAACCAACCCGATCTAGAAGATATGTACCAAACTTCCGTTAAGAAATTATACCTTCAAATGCAAAATTCAAATATAATCCAACCATACAAGATATTCTACAAAATAAAGGAGATATCAATCCCCGATTCCGAAGACCCGGCCCTGACACTTAGTCAAGAGCTCATCGCCCAACAGCTGCCCTCCTGCAAGGTCCGGGGGGACCACTTCTACTCCACCAACTCGCCATGTATGTGTAAATAGCCAGGACAAGGTGACTCGCGAGCTGTGCTCGAATGTAACACCTGTAAATTGAGACGAAATAAAAAAAAATCAGTATAAAAGGAAAACCAAAAAAAAATGCAATGTTACAGCGGTATGGTAGATTAAACTGGTAAAACCACTGGGAAGGTTCACTACTGATGAACCAGGCCCTCCCATTATTTTATCATTGTAGTAATTCTATCTGTTTATTTGTGAACTTAACGATTTGATTTCCGATAAAAAAAAATCATATTTAAAGTTCAATTCATTTTTGTAAATACATTCTAAACTTTCTACAAAATCTGGATCTCTAATGTTTTCATGCGTTCAATAATATAAATAACTTATGTAAATAAACTTTTCTCCTTGTTTGGCGTAAGTATCCTTTGTGGGATATAGCGCTTTGGAAATAAAATACACCTATCCCCCGATTTACGCGGTAGATACGTTCCTGAGAAAAACGTGTAAATCGGGGGATAGGTGTACACAGAAATAAAAATAAAATGCATTGACAGGTTAAAATATGTAGTCAGCACATAAGCTCGGGATTCCTCGTGAGATGTGTACACAGCGCATGTGTTCAATCACAGTAGCATTTAGTATAGTGCGATAAAAACAAAACAAAAAAAACTTATTTGGAAAACCGTGTAAAAGCGAAAACGTGTAAAACAAGTACCGTGTAAATCGGGGGATAGGTGTAATTGTAAAAAAAAATCTGCTTATGTTGTTGCTTATTTGTTTAACTTATATGTTTATTTAATGCTCTTTTTTCTTAATTGTTTATTTTATTTTTTGACAATTCTGTTACCTACTCTACTACAATTATTGTAAATAGTTTCACGCGTAATTATCCAGATCGGATATAGCGTGTCTTATTTGTGCAACTGGTAATAAATAAATTATAGTAGGAGCAGTAGAAAATTGATTTGTTTTAAAAGAATCAAATGCATCAAAAATATAGTAAAGATAGAGGGTGCCTGGCCAGCATTCATATTTCTATAAAAAATAGACACTTCGGCCAGTTGGAGTTTTTTTATTTTCTCAACGTTTCGACAAAAATCTTTTATCTTCGTCAGGAGAAGTAAATAATAAATAAATAAATAAAAAATGACTCGTGCTTTAGATGTTGTACTAAATTCGAAAAATCACGTGAGAACGCCCTTGCAACCTCAGAACAATTTTTAACGCCTTGCCAAATGCTTTATTTACTTCTCCTGACGAAGACAAAAGAATTTTGTTGAAACGTTGAGAAAATAAAAAAACTCCAACTGGCCGAAGTGTCTATTTTTATATAAAAAAAGCATCAAAAATAATTCAAATTTCTTATAAACTTTGGCTATGAACGGATACGAAGAAATCTACCGAATTTCTCGATGTCTACAGAAGGAAGATGTCTACGGAAGTTGTACATCGATATTTCCTGCGTGGTTTGATAAGTTTACATTATTGCATTTATTGAAAGGAGAAATCCCCGGCTTGACAGTAGATGAGATTCATTAAATCCACATAGTCTACAAATATATCTTTAATTTATAATACAATATAATGCGGCTTATGATTGTAGAAACGACATTTGAAAATCATCCCGCAAATGTTTCTTTTGAATAAAAATCGAAATTTAAGGAGAAATACCGATTATTTCTAACTTTAGGGATGAAGTATGAAAGGATGAATTGTGATCCCATCCCTGGACACTTTATTTCCCCGTTTATAATTACTCTTCACAATTCATCCTACCATACTTCATTCCTAAGGTTAGAAATAATCGTTATTTCTCCTTAAAATAAATTTCGATTTTTTGTTTAAAAGAAACATTTGCAGTATAATTGTCAAACATCGTTCTACAATCACAAACCGCATTATATTGTATTATAAATTAACTTTATATAATATTTACGAACCGAAAAATATGTCCAGAGTAGCCTAGTGGACAAGGCACGGTAAACTGTATACTGTGGGTTCGATTCCCATCCCTGGACACTATTATTTTTCCATTTATCATTACTCTTCACAATTCATTCTTTCATACTTCATCCCTAAGATTAGAAATAATCGTTATTTATCCTTAAATTTCGATTTTTCGTTCAAAAGAAACATTTGCGGGATAATTTTCAAATGTCGTTTCTACCTTTAATTTCCCAACATTACATAGAAACTGGCCAGCCATTTGAAATAGATCAACTCTAAGTACATTATAACCATGTGAAGAATAGTTACCCAGAAATTATTTGAAAGAGATAAAATCATGTAAAATGTTTCTTTTAATTTTGAATTTGCAAGATTTTGTTGAAGAGCAGTATATTGCCTCGAAAGCTTGTAAATTACAGAAAATGAAAAGAAACTTTTTTACCTGATTTTTCGTCTTTCACATTATAATCATATAAGTAATACATTTGTGGGAGAAGAGATTCTTTTATAAGAGAATGATCTACAAGCCTTCGAGTAAGATACCTTTCTATGGGTAGGAAATCGGTTTGAAACCAATATGTAAATAGAATTGTTGCATAACATCTATCAAAAATTCAAATTCCTGCTATACAAGATGATCACAAGCTACTACAAGATGTCCTGTGAATTAAACAGGTGAAACGGCTGGGTGTTTCCACTACAAATGAGTGATCCAAATTTCCCATTCTTGTAAGAATACTCTACATTTAAAAAATCTAAACTTCAGTATATATAAAAAATGGCTAATAAAAATACAATGAAAACACATATCAAATGTCAAAATTCGAAACTATTATAGACGCGTATGATTCTTTTAAAAAATAAACAATTTCTACTGCCCTTACTGCAATGTGGAAAAATTAAAGGGAGGTCCTGGCTCATCAGTGGTGAATTCCATTACAGTAAGGGCAGTAGAAATTGTATATTTTTCAAAAGAATCATACGCGTCTATAATAGTTTCGAATTTTGATAACAGATGGCGCGCTAATGTATCATAACATATCAAATGTAATTAATATAAAGTTGAATTAATAAAGAGTATTTCTAGACGTACCTGAATATATAAACGACGGCCATTTAGAAAGTCCATTAAAGTTGGAATTAAAAAAGTCCATTAAGGCGAGTAATGGCAAGAAACGGATTCTAGGAGTCCGTGAAATGGAATAGAAGCTACGGACTACTGGTGACCCGTGAATTTGCCCCAGTTATTGCTTAGCTGGAACGGAGGCAACATCCAGATAGCTGGATGGGTGAGGTCCAGGAAATAACAAATTCCTTCAACAGAATCCGTGTTACACCTTTATGTTATGATGTGAAAATTCGAACCTATTATAGACGTGTAAGATTCTTTTTGTAAGTTAAACAATTTCTATTGTCCTTACTGCAATGGAAAAATTAATGGGAGGTCCTGGCTTATTATGAAAATTCGAATTATTATAGACGTGTATGATTCTTTTTGTAAGTTAAACAATTTCTACTGCCCTTATTGCAATGGAATATTATTGGGAGTGCCTGGCTCATTATCAAAATTCGAAACTATTATAGACGTGTATGATTCTTTTGATAATTTAAACATTTTCTACTGAATTATAAAATAAATAAAGCTTCCAGGGTTAAGTTTCTTGTTCAAATTTTTATTTTCAAGCTTTCGGACTTTTCAGTCCTTCAACAGGAGTATCACGATAATAAATAGATACTATTTTTATATACAAATTAATTTTTACATATTTTAATTATTAATGATATTGAAAGGGGGGGAAATATATATTACATTATTTGTGTGTTATAAACAATTTTTGTAAATATATACGTGCATGGTGGAGGATACGTGCTGTCCTTACTGTAATGGAAAAATTAATGGGAGGGCCTGGCTCATCAGTGGTGAACCTCCCAGCGGTTTCGCCAGTTTAAGCTACCAATGGTAGATTGCAGTTGCAGTCCATTGCAAGTAAGGGCAGTATAATTTGTATAATTTTCAAAAGAATTATACGCGTCTATAATAGTTTAAAATTTTCATAACAGATGGCGCACTAATGTATCATAATATAATATCATGATATCCTCAAAGCTTATGTCCATAGTTCATCTAAATTACCCATTCCAAGAGTCTAGCATCAGTATCACTATAAAAGAAAACCCGAAAAAATGCAATATAACAACGGTATGGTAGATTGAAGTCAGAGTTATTGTCTGGATCCTGATCTTTATTGTAGACACGAGATAACCAAGTATTTAAATATAGATAAAATCTTCCAGAAGCTTATCATCCTCTCCTGTCCTTTATTTAAACCTCCCACATGTTTATTTCAATAGCCCTAATCATGCGCCGTCTCGTGGTTTCAGACTGCAGATTTAATATTTACTTTTCTCAAAAATCGGTCTTCTGTTAATATTAACACATATATAAATAGTTTAAAAACTTTCCTTATATATATATATTCCTTCCTACCATTTGTACCATAGTACTTATAAGTCGCGCTTCATTGCTCGCCTGTTGAAGGGTTTTTACCCGAAAGCTTGCACCTATTCATCAATAAAAGAAACTCGTCTTCCTTCACCATGTTTTTTCGTTTAATAACCAAGTATGAACAAAATTTACTTTGTCTCCTTCAAAAAGACAAAGACTGACGACCGGCGATATCAAAGACTTTCCACTTCCTTAAGTTTTGTCAATGATTGTATATATACACGTATACATGTGTCTGGAGTATGTAAATAAGTTTATTATTAATAATGCTTAAATGTTCAGAGAAATTGTTATTCGGTATGGAAAAACAAACTTTATGAGGTTGTCCCAAAAGTTCGTGTTTTTTCTTAAAACGTTGTTTTTCTTATTACTTGTAGAAATAATATTATTACGGCGAATACATGATAATACAATTACTTTATACATAATACAAAGACATTATAGATAACGGCGAATAATATTATTACGGCGAATACATAATAATACAATTACTTTATACATAATACAAAGACATTATAGATAACGGCGAATAATATTATTACGGCGAATACATAATAATACAATTACTTTATACATAATACAAAGACATCATACATAACAGCGAATAATATTATTACGGCGAATACATAATAATACAATTACTTTATACATAATACAAAGACATTATACATAACAGCGAATAATATTATTACGGCGAATACATAATAATACAATTACTTTATACATAATACAAACCATGGTCTCTAGGTAGACGCTTCTCAGTTTCCCAAAGCTGGTGTTGTGGCTTTGTCACCGACCCGAGGCCGCTAGTTACAGCGATGGTCAATAGATGGCGTTAGATTTTGACGTTTATTTTGACGGGAGAGACGCCCTATGCTTCTATGGCTAATACAAAGACATAACGGCGAATAATATTGGTATTTCTACAAGTGTTTACGAACTTTTAGGACAACCTTGTATGTTATTCAAAGAGTCTTCTCTTCTTCTTCTTTCTTATCTCTGGGTAGTTAGCGACTGCTTTTACTGTAAGCGCACCACATGTCTACACATGTGAAAAGAAGTTCGACTTTGCACTTACAAATGTGCCAGAGCCCCGTTTGGTTACTTGTACTAGCTGGTGGGGTTGGACTTTTGCAAGAATCGGGGGCCATTGGAGCATTTTTTTTTTAACAGAAAAAAAGTGCCCAATGCGGGAATCGAACCCGGGTCGTAGTGGTCGAAACCCAAACGGTTTAACCAGCCTTCCACCGACCCCCTATTCAAGGAGTAAAATATAAAGATGGTACTATGTGAAGAGGTACACACTAGGTAACAAGGAATGGGGTAAGAGGGCCTCACCAATCTGACAACAGGAAGTACAGCTGGCGTGTAACAAGCGGAAACACGCTACCTTTATAGACCCAGCTGACTTCATCATGTCGGACTCACTGAGTCTCCAATGTGGCAAACCACCTTGTCTAGTTTATCTACAATATCACAAGGCCTGTTTATCCTTATCTAATCCTATCTTTAACCCTAAGAGTACATGTTCCAAAATAACTTTATTAGGTACCGTTCAAAAAGATCACAACCCCTAGCTTATGTTATTTACAATTAAATATTATGGGGAAAGAAGTCCGACCACACCTCCCTGCGGTCCCCCCTGGGCCCTTGGAATATTCGACCAAATTCTGGTTCGTTTCCAAGGTGACTAACGTGGCAACGGCACCCATTTTCCAATGAGGAGCAAGATAGTGGATATTGCTGCTGCTGTGATGGAGATGCACGGAGACATCTAAGACTCTTCTTTGGACACGACAACAACAACAATGAAATATTATGTACAGGTTCTTCACAGAAAAAAAAGTGTACAATACGGAGGGATTCCATCCCTGTTCAACTGTAAGAATACATGTTCCAAAATAACTTTATTAGGTAACACTCAAAAAGAGCACAACCCCTAGCTTATGTTACAAGGTGGGATCAATAAATAAGGTGAATTATAATTTATTTAAAAAAATAAGAACGATATTAAAGATTAGGACTTGATTTATTCAAAATAATCACCTTGGCTTTCTAAACATCGTCTCCATCGCTCTGGCAACTTGTAAATACCCTCTTTATAGGCACTCTTAGGAAGCGTGTGAAACCTATTACCTACAGCCCGAAACGCCTACGTGGTTAGCTTTTTCTTGATTAATCAAGTATGGGTATTTAGCCAATTCTGGAATAATTAAAATTCAACGAATAGTTAATATTCCGATAGATGGCGGTAGCCATCAGGAACTTTCAGTTGCACGATAAGGATATGCCACCCTACTATAAAATCAATTAAAATGTAATAAAACTTATTTTTATTTCTAAGAGAATGGGGGAGGACGTTGCTATAAATTGTCCCGACGTAAGGTCAGGAATAAAAATAAAGCAGGAGTCCCACTTTTTGTTTATTTTAACACCCCTGCCACAAAAATATTCCATTTCATAAGATCTAATGTTCTGTTCCTGCTCTTTCTGTTGTTCTTTTAGCTACTGGATTATCTTTAAAGTATTGCCACAATATAGGTACATGTTTATATAGGACAATCTA